AACAGAAACCAGATGCATTTAAAATACTAGGACTGGAGCTGTAGCTCAGTGGTAAAGCAGCTTTCACACATGAGATCCTAGGCGCAATCCTCAGTACTTGAAAAAAAGAAAGAAAAGAAAATTTTTGCATAGCATATATGAGGCCCTGGATTTGATCTGCAACACTTTTTTAAAAACTTGGGTTGTTGAGATGACTCAGTGAGTAAAAGCACATGCTGTCAAGCCCAACAGCATGTAATCTCCAGGACCCACATGGTGAAAGGAGAGAATCAGTTCCCTCAAGTTGTCCTCTGACCTCCACATACAGCATGGCACATGTACCCCAGTCCCCTGTTACCCCCCCCCAACAAACAATACACACACAAATGGTGTAAGGGCCTTGCATTTGTTAGGCAAGCACACTACACTAAAGTAAGTTCCCAACCTTAACTTTTCCTATTCTCTACTGACTTCATAAATGATTCCTCAATTGTTTTGTGTCTTCTATTAAATTGAAATTTCCTTAAGAGCAGAAACTTATGTTTTGATGTCTTGTCAGGAGTTTAACACAGTAATGGTTGTTTTTGTCATTGTATAAACAGCATAAACTAAAATGGTTATGCCTGCTAAATAGAGGGTTATTTAGTTGCTTGTTAGTTAATTTAGTCCCTAGTTTGAGGAGAAAAGCCAAAATCCCTAGCTTTGGAGATCTTTAAATAACATTACTGATATTGAAGCCTCTTTGGTTCTTTGAATATCTGTTAACAGTTAAAGATAAGAGCCAGACCTCATGGTGCATACCTTTTACCTCAGCACTCAGGAGGCAGAGGCAGGTGAATCTCTGTGAGATTGAGGTCTACTTGCCAAAATCCAGGCCAGCTAGGGCTCCAAGGAGACTATCTCAAAAAGACCTAATGAGCACCTTAAACAGTTAGAGATAGGAATAATAGGAGGCTTTGAAGTCCATGCCAAGTGTATGGGGTGTTCCAGAGGATCCAACACCCTCTTCTGGCCTCTGCCAGCATTGCATGCACATGGTGCACTTACATACATGCAGTACACTCATACACATAAAATAAATATTTTTTTAAGTGAGAAACTAAGAATAATAAATGGAACTCAGTGTGAATCCAGTTCCTATTACCCTTAATTTTGTTACAATATGCATTCAAAATTTTCTAAAGTACCCAGTACAATGATATATAGCTCTAATCCAAACACACAGGAAACCAAGGCTGGAGGATGTTTTGAGCTAGGGATATTTGAGGCCAGCCTGACCAATACCATGAGACCCTGCTGCTAAAATAAGATTTTGGTTTTTGAGACAAGGTCTCACTGTGTAGTCCTGACTGACTTGGAACTTGTGTCAATCTTTCTGCCTCTTGAGTGCTGGGATTACAAGCATGAGCCATGATTTCTAGTTTAAGATTTTAAAAAATAAATCTCACTAGGTGTGGTGGCACACACCTTTAATCAGGAGGTAGAGGCAGGTGGATCTCTGAGTTCCAGGCCAGCCTGGTCTACATAGTGAGTTCCAGAACAGCTGGGGCTACAGGTAGACCCTGTCTCAAAAATACCAAAAAAAAAAGCTATTACCAGTTTTGAACCTCATGAAAACCCTATAAAACTGGCAAAACATGATGACCTTTTCATTTTATGGATGGGAAAACTGAGCCTCATAGAAATTACTGTGTTTATCCATGGTCACTTACGACTTCTTAATAAGGTACTTCCTTTTTCTTTATGTGAGTTCTGTTTTGATGACCCAAGAAAATGAAATAGGAAAAAAAAAGTTCGATGTGAAACAAACCAGAAGCCAGGGAGATCATGGCCTATACTTCTTAACTCCAGAAGCTGAGGCAGGATTGTTGAAAGTGAGGCCAGCCTGGGCTACGTAGTGAGTTCCAGGCAAGTCTGAACTAAAAAGTGAGATCCTATCTTTAAAAAAAAAATGGGGAAAAAAAATTTACATCTCAGTGTTGGTTCAGCCCTTTATTTCACATACTGATTTCCAAATCTGCTAAGAAACTACCTCTGAAAAGCACTGTCAAGCTAGCATGTAAGAAAAAAGACAAGGGGGCTGGAGAGATGGCTCAGCAGTTAAGAACACTGGTTGTTCTTGCAGAACACCTGGGTTCGAATCACAGCACCCACATGGCAGCTAACTACTATCTGTAACTCCAGTCCCAGGGGATCTGACAGCCTCTTCTGACCCCCCGCAGGCATTGCACAACATGGATGTGACGCGCTGACCTACATGCAGGCAATACACGCATACACATAAAATAAAAATAATAAAACTTTTTTAAAAAAGAAAAGACAAAACACTTTAAATACGAAAAGAGTACAAGATTGTTAACTAGGTCAGTCTTTTCTCTAGTTAATCCACAGTTGTCAACATTTTATCTTCTTTATAGAACAGACTTCCCAACTCCCCTGAGGGACAGCTGTGATCTTGACTCCATAGGTGGTCCTGGGCATCCAGGCCTTGATGTTGAACCTCTTCTCTTTCTCAAGCACCAAGAGGTTTTCCATTATTTTACTATTACTCTTCTACAGCCTCAGTATGCCTTCACCTATGCCATACGGAAAATGTAAAACACTCCATTGAACTTCTAGAGATAGAAAATTACATTCTGGAAAGTTAAAGAAAATACTGTAATAACTAAACTGATAAAATTCTTAAACTAAAAGTATGTAATTGTATTTTAGATTGTAAATTTGTAATTCTGTATGTCTACTATAATTTTTGAGTATTATTTACTAACAGAACTGTACAACCAAAGGGCTAGAGAGATGGTTCAGGGATTAAAAGCACTGTGTGCTCTTGCAGAGGACCCAGGTTTGGTTTCCAGCATCCACATGGCAGCTAACAACAGTCCAGGGGAATCTGATGCCCTCTTCTGACCTCCGAGGGCATTGCATAATATGGGTGCACTTGCATACATCCAGGCAGTACACCTATACACATAAAGTAAAAATAATAAATAAAATTTTTTATTAAAAAAAGTTCTTCAGGGGCTAGAGAGATGGCTCAGGGTCATGCAGAAGACCTCGGTTCGATTCCCAGCACCCACATGGCAGCTATGAACCGTCATTAACTCCAGTTCCAGGGGAATCCGACGCCCTCTTCTGACCTCCGTGGCAATTGCATGACACCGGTGCACTCACATACATGCAGGCAATACATAAAATAAAAATCATAAAATATTTTAAAAAAAATTTTTTTTTAAACTTCAATGTAATGGTGTTTTCTTTTCTTTTTTTGTCTTTTTGAGACGGTCTCTTTGTAGCCCCAGCTGTCCGTCCTGGAACTCACCATGTAGACCAGGCTGGCCTCGAACTCACAAAGATCAGCCTGCCTCTGCCTCCCAAGTGCTGAGATTAAAGCTGTGTGCTACCACGCCTGGTGTAATGTTATTTTTTAAAGAAAACAAAATCTTTTCATTGGTACCTAAAGCTACTAAAAATTGTAATTTCTTCCTACATATTAAAAGACAAAATATTTTTTCACTGTAATGATTTTAGTGATCAGTAGTGATATTTTAATACAGAATTTTGAACTGAAAGTATTTGGCTACCCAAAACTTTTTTTTATGGAGATAGGGTCAGTTAAAATTTTGAAGAGCTTTTAGAATAATGATAATGTCCTAGTAATATGTTACCAAAATATTGTCTATAAATTGTATCTTATAAAGCTAGCTGCTGCTAGTTAAAATATGGTAATGATAGTACCACAAATGGATTTCTACTGTACTTCCTATTCCTTTTTTTTTAATATTTTATTTATTTATTTTATGTGTATGACTCTGTTGCCTGCATGTACATAGTGTAATGCCTGTGGAGGTCAGAAGAGGGTGTCAGATCCCCTGGAACTGGACTTATGGACGGTTGCTAACTGCCGTGTGATGCTGGGAACTGAACCCAGGTCCTCTGCAAGAACAGCCAGTGCTCTTAACTGCTGAGCCATCTCTCCAGCTCCATACCCCCGACACACCCCTGTTCCACATTTTTTTCTAACATAGTGGCTGTTTGAATTTATGTTTGAATTAATTGAAAGCAATTAAAATTGAACACTCACTTCCTCAGTAGCACTTAGCATATGAAAATTCTAGTAGCTATGTGGTTGCTGCTTTGGATACTGCAAATTATAGATTATTTCCATCACAGGAAGTTCTATACATTTAGTATTTGATTGTCTAGAAAACAGTTGTAAGACTAGAATCCAAGGAATCGTATAATGGGTTTATTCTCATTTTACTATAAAGTAGCACTTCAGCAGTTTTTTATTGGAGTTGTGGTTTTTTTTTGAGACAGGCTTCATGTAGTCCAGACTGGCAAAAAATGACCTTGAACTCCTAATTCTGGTTCTTCTATCTCAAGTATAGTAGAGGCTAAAATAAGCATCCAGTTCATCAACCAGAACTTCATTGTGTTACTCTTTTTATAGAATAATATCCTAAATTTATGTTAATACATCTTTGTTTTTTGGTGGTAATTAATTTTTCTCTTGACTTTTCATTAAAAGTAAGCCTCTAAACCAGGTGTGGTGTTACCTTTAATTCCAGCAGAGACAGACAGAGCTCTTGTGAGATGGAAGCCAGCCTAGTCTACATAGCCAGTTCCAGGCTAGCTGGGGCTCCAAAAAAAATAGACAGGTGTGGTTGCGTAAGCCTTTAATCCCAGCACTCGGAAGGCAAAGGCAGGTGGATCTCTGTGAGTTCAAGGCCAGCCTGGTCTACTTAGTGAGTTCCAGGCCAGCTGGGGCTACAGGGAAACCCGATCTCAGAAAAGACCCCCAAAAAAGAAATATATATGGACTGAGACTGTATCTAAAGGGTAGAGAACACTTGCTTATCTTACACAAGGCCCTGTATTCTATTCCTTATACCACATATACAGTACAAACACAAGCACACAAGTATACCTCTTTAGTAACAGGTAAAAATACATTTAACTGCTTTTACTTGTATACTCAATATTATATATTTATATTCGCTTCTTTTCCTGTCCTGGCACAGGTAGAAGAGTCAGCAATGATGGGAGTAAGTGGCTATGTGGAGTATCTCCGAGAGCAGGAAGTGTCTGAGCGGTGGTTCCGGTATAATCCCCGTCTCACCTGCATCTACTGCGCCAAATCTTTCAATCAAAAGGGAAGTCTGGACCGCCATATGCGCCTGCATATGGGAATCACACCATTTGTCTGCCGCATGTGTGGGAAAAAGTATACACGCAAAGATCAGCTGGAATATCATATCCGCAAGCACACAGGCAACAAGCCCTTCCACTGTCATGTTTGTGGCAAAAGTTTTCCCTTTCAGGCCATCTTGAATCAGCACTTTCGTAAAAACCACCCTGGCTGCATACCCCTGGAAGGGCCTCACAGCATTTCTCCTGAAACAACTGTCACATCTCGAGGACAAACTGAAGAAGGATCACCTTCACAGGAAGAAACAGTTGCTCCTGGGGAAACCGCTCAGGGTTCAGTGTCTACTACTGGGCCAGATTGAAACATTGAGGGGGAGGGGGCAGACCCTCTTCCCCTTTGGGCTGTAAGTAGCCCACATCACGGCCACGGGCTGGTACTTAGATTCACAAAATGCCACATCGCTAGGCCAGATGTCCCCACGGTGTTGCCAAGTAGAGGATTAACAACATACAGAAAGCACTAAAGGCTCTTACCCTCTTCTTTCCCACCTCACACTTTGGAAAATAGTCAAGCAAATCAGCTTCTAATTCAGGGATCAACAGCCTTGGTTTGTTAACTTTATAAGAAAAAAAATTTTTTAACAAAACTGATACATGGTCATTTATCTGCCAGTCATGTTTGAACACTGTACTTTGGTCCATATCGTCTTGGTGGGTGAAAGCCCAATCTAAAAAAAAAAAATGCAACAGGAGCTTTGGCCATCTGAAGCAGCCAGTCAGAAGAGAGAAAGAGGTAGTCACAATGGTGAGGAAGAGGAATCTCTTCTTCCTTCCCTGCCAGAATGTGCATTTTGGGGGGGGGGGGGGGCAAAATACTGCTGGTTCTTGTTCTGAAAGGTTAGGCATCTAATGTTGTGCCTGGCTGACTCATGCCATCAGCTATCTTGGAGCAGTATTCTAGTTGGCAGCATCACCTGAAGCCCTTTAGGCAAGCAGAAGTGAAATGAGCAGTGAAGTGTTTACAGTGGGTACTGCTACATATGGGGCCGTGAGTGTTATATTGAAAAGGAGGAACAGGGAAGGAAGTGTTTTTAATTTTTTTACAAATACTGAACAGCACAGAGCTGCACTGCAACTTTCTGATTGGTGTTTGTAGCCCTAGTGCTTACATACATCCTTGGGAGTTACAGAAATGTTTCTAGTTCAGATGAGTTAACCTGTTAGGCTGACTACCAAAGTTTCGTCCAGTCTCTTCAGCTCCTAGTTTCATATAACAGCAATATTGTACATCAGAAATGTCACTTTCCAGTGAAATGTGAGCCTGGATTGTATTTTTTAATCCACAGGTCTCCATGTTTGATAACTTTTATATGAAGTTTTAAACACTTTTCTGCAATATTGTAGTTGAAGAAACTCAGCACTGTTCTTATTACTACCACAGTTTTGTTTCCTTCTACGTTTAGTACTTTTTATTTTCAGTCCAATGAAGAACCTCTCTTAAATCTATGTCTGGGTCTGCAAGCCTACTAATTCATAACCCACCATCAACCAATTGCTAGTGGACTCCAAGAGCTTTGATTTTTAATAATACACTACAGGGCACTTACCAGAAAATACCACTCAGTCATGTTGCAATAAATGATCAAGGAGTCAGTCTTGATCAGGTGTGGTTACTTAATCATTCCTAAAATTTTTTAAACTTCAAGGGACATTTTTTTAGTAAATTCTGGGCTTTTCTGAGATTCTTAATCCAGCTGTGAGAGAAAGAATTTACCAAACATGTAGAGTTTTATATATCCTGTCTTGCATGCAGATAGAGAAGGAAGAATGTTCAGCACTGCAGGCAATAGATGCCTGCAACCTACAGAGCAAACAGAAAAATCTCCAGCTTCCCTTGAATGAGTTTAAAGGAATATTTAAATATGTAATGGCTTAGGTAATTATTTTGTTACAGGGAAATAAATGATTGTAAAAGAGCTTTGGGAAAGGAGCTGGCCATATCTGCACTGGTGAGCCATTTATGAAAATGTTTGTGTGCTCCTTTCTTGTGAGCACTTTGTGGTACGTAGAAGGGTGGGAAAAAGGACAGTTTTGGTGATAAGAAAGTGGAATGCAAAGGGTAGCTTTAAGCAATCTGAGAATTGTACATACAAACAACTATCACTAGAATATGGGTTTCTCTTCTGAAAAGCAGAAATTCATCTTTTAGAGATTTTGATGCATGCATTGAAGAGTCGACCCTTAAAAGCAGCATTGGAGTCTTCTCTAGGAACTATAGACAGGCCTCTTCCTGTGTAGTTGGGCAACAGAAGAATAGGGCAAAAACTGTCTCCTTGAGCTTAGGATTGGCTCTGCTCTGGTGGCATGAAAAAGTAGTGCTGAAATTAGACTGAAATCCTTAGTGAAGCTTCAGCTTGTAGTCAAGGCTTTTGGTGGACAAATTTTGTCCTTACTAAACAGGTAGGAAGCTGGGAAGGACAGAAGGTGCTGCTTTAGATGGAGCTTTTAAGCCTACCAAAAATATTTTGTCTACCCTACTTTTGAAAAGTTAAGTTGTATGCTGAAAAGTTCTTCATTGCTTTGTTAGTTTCTTAGATTATATGTGAGAAAATAGAGCTTTTTAACTCTTACCAAATTGTACTGGTGAAGTGCAGTAATTTCTGTAAAGAAAAACTTTGGAGCATTTTGTCAGTACTGCATCCAGGGTCAACACAGACATCTTAAATATAAGATGTCATCAAATTCATATGGAAATGCTATGCATGTTTGGTGGGTTCCCTTCCTTTTTCATTCATTTATAATAGGTTTTTACTATATTGATACTGTGAATAGAGTGCTTCCGGTCATCAAGGACCACATCAGCACAATCATGTTTGCTGGTTCTCTCCTCTAATTAGCCTAGCCAAAGCCATGAAATTCTTGAAACTTCTAGCCAGGCTACCTTTTAAACAAATTAAAATTTCTGAAAATAATTTTCCTATTTAGTTAGGAGAGATTCTATTCTAAATATCCAGGATTCTTACCCAGATTCACTGTGACATTGTCCTACTTCTTAACTAACATCACTGTAGGTCATAAGGGTTAGTAATGTACTATCTGCATTAATGAATATTGGTGTGTACAAGGAGAATACCTAGTAAGGATGTACTAAATGGACTTTAGCTGATGCTGAAACTTACTACCAAATCTTGACTTGCACTTGTCACCTTGTGAGGGGAACTGCATTAGCAATGAGAGCTAAGTCATTAAGTACCTTAATGCCGCAAAATAGCAACACTGGGACTGTTTTCATTTATTGTCAGTTAACAGCAAAGGAACTATTGAGGATTCTCAGAAAAAGAGAGTCAGCTGAATATAAATCTGTTTTCATTTGAAATATACCTTTTATTCTCTCTGAATTCTGATACCAGTGTAAAATATGGCATAGGCATGACAATAATACTGTATTTAGGCAGAAAAGCTCTTTCTAATGACTTGTTCTCTTACTCAGAACCATAATTACCTCTGAACTGTTGAGTTTTGTTTTAGATAAGTTGCAAACTACCCATAGCCTTTCTTTCTTCCTTTCTTTTTTTTTTTTTTTTTTTTTTAAGACAGCTATATTGCCCAGGCAGGCCTCAAACTCATGACAATCCTTCTGCCTCACCCTGCTGAGTGCTAAGATTACAGGCATGTGCCACTACACCTGGCCCCCCATTCTATATTATAGTATTAAAGAATTTAATCTTGACTAGATAAAAATGAGTTTGTGAAGGATAAAGATGAGAAAAGAGAAAAGCAGTTCAAGTTGTCTTATATTTTGGCATTTTTTTCTGTTTCTAGTTCCCTTAACATCAGTGAAACCAAGTTTTCCAAAGATGGTACCACAGTAGACATAGACTGTCCCCTCCCTAACTTCATAGTTGAAATCTGGCTTTCATTGGAAATTGGTGGAAGAGTAAAGGGAACTTCATTTTTAATAGATGAGTAGTCCTTTGTCCAAGAAAAAAACGTTTACATAGTTTTAGCTGTTGCATGGCACTAATTGTGAACTTTTCTTTTAACTGGTCTAGATTACATTTTGTTTAACAAGAAGATCTAATTTAAAGAAATAGGAAAGCTAGAAAATGGAAAGGAAAGCCTTTTGTTTTCCCCCTTCGTTTTTCAAGACAGAGTATCCCTGTGGCCCTAGCTGCCCTGGAACTAACTCACTGTGTAGACCAGGGTGGCCTTATCTCACAGAGATGCCTCTGCCTCTTGTATGCTTGGGATCAAAGGCATGTGCCACCACACTTGGCCCTAGGAAAGCCTTCTTAACCATAGAGGAAAGGTAGTTAATCAGAAAGAGTTGAAATCTGGAGAATATATATAAATAAGCATGATTTTCTTTTCCTAACATGTCATTTTCCTTATCTGTGTACTTATTTGTTCAAGAAATAATAGATGAGTCTTTATTGAACAGTTTTTGGAAAATGGAGCTTTTTGTGTAAGGCCACATGGGAAAAAAATTAAAACATTAAAATATTCTTGCAGCCAAGATTTGGGAAAAAGACAGCAAACAGTTGTCAGATAAATGGTTGAGTTTAAGAGGATACCTTTAGCAAAACATATCTCTGGGGCTCAGGAGTTAGATCAAAGCTCAGTAAACAGACAGCCCTTAAGTAAAATACCAAGGCCACCCGCTTGCATAGACAAATTATATTTGAACAACTATTTTCTCAGTTACTGTTTATGATTTCTTTATACTGTAATGATAAAAGTTGAATACATGTCCTGCAAAGCCTAAAAATATTTACTATCTGGAATATGGCAGAAAAGGTTTGCCATCTTACCATCCTTTGGTTTACATTCAAAAGTTTACTGTCTGAATTCTCTACTCTAGAAATTTTGCTTTTATAATACTTTGAGAGAGGTTTTAAATTCATACTGTCAAACCTGCATCAGTTTCTTGATTCCCATTCCATAAAGGACATTTAGATTGGATTATAAAAAAGCCAGGTATGGTGGCACACATGTTTAATCTAGCACTTGGGAGGCAAAGGCAGGTGGATTTCTGTGAATTCAAGGCCAGCCTGGTCTACATAGTGAGTTCCAGGACAGTTGGAAAAAAAAAAAAAAAAGAATGGATTATAAGCAAGGAAATAGGGTTATGATTTGTTCCTACCTTAAAGATACAAATAGATTGTTTAGAATAGTAGTTACTTACAAGATAATTCTACAGATAACTCCCACATATAGTAATGTGGGTTAAATGGATACCATGTTCACATAAAATACTATTTAAAAGTTCAGGATTTTGTAAATTTTGCCACTTCTCTGAGCTGATTTGCATAATGATGACATAAGTGAATTTATTCCCACTAGAATTAAAAAAATAAGCTGTAATCCTAGCACTTGGGAGGTGAAGATAGGAGGATGCTGAGTTCAAGGACATCCTTGATTAACTACATAAAAGCTCAAGGATAGCCTAGGCTATATGAGACCCTGTCACAAAGGTATTTTGATTCTTATCAAAAGTAACATTTTTCTAGATTAGAGACATGTGCTTGTCCCTTCATTTTAATTTCCTTAAGTAAATTCACTCTGTCCCCATGTAGACTAATAAAAAGCCAAAATTTTCTCCATTTTTCTTCTGGATGTTTTAAAATACAATGAAACATCTGAGGATTGCTTTTTTTTTTTTTTAGACCCATTTTCACATATCTGCTGTTGTCTAAGATTTTTTTTTTTTTTGGTTTTTTTTTGAGACAGGGTCTCCCTGTACCCCCAGCTGGCCTGTAACTTACTATGTAGACCAGGCTGGCCTTGAACTCACAGAGATCCGCCTGCCTCTGCCTCCTGAGTGCTGGAATTAAAGGCATGCGCCACCACACCCAGCTTGTCTTAAGAATTTTTAAGTACACATCAGACCATTACATATTTGCTTTATGAATTCATTCTTAGTGTTATATAGATGTGGAGAAATGAAAAATTTAAGAGTGTTAATAGAAACCCTTCAAGAGGAGAATATAATTTCCATTTGTAAAGAATGCATAGGCTTGAGTTAGTTTTATCTGGGTAGTTTTCTAGACCATGCTAATACAGTAACTGTGAGTTTGATCTTTTTGATGTGAATCTTACCACCACAGACAGCTGGGATGAGTCACTAGTCTCCCATAAGACGCCTCTTTATTTTTAAAGTTGCCTTCTTCTAATAAGATAGTGTGATTTATGTGATATGTCTTCTGAATAATAGATAATCCCCATTATAAAATTCCAGAATGTTCTCCTAGGTGAGATCTGCCTTGTCTTAGAGCACATTGCCCATAGGTAAAAATGGGTTCTTGGGACTTTGGAGTATTCCTTTTCTTATTAACCTTGGGAGAGAACTTGGATTTAGATAACTGAGTCATCCACATGTACTCTACTTGAGGTCTTGGTGATAGATGTCATTTAAATGTGAATCCATCAAAACTATTGGAGAAACAAAACCTTCTTTGCTTTATAGTGTTTTTTCTGGTCTAGTGTTTTTTCCACCGGGATTTTTAAATGGTGCTTTTCCCAGGGCTGGTATTTTCACTTAAATAGTAGGCTTTCTTAGAACAAGCCAGAATTAGATAATATGAATATTTTAGAACTCTTGAATTTGTTAGATTGAAAAGAAAGTAATTATTGCTAAGGACAGTGATGTTAAAACCTGAAAGTCTATACAGATCATCCACTTTTGTTGTGTAGGAAGACTATCTTTTCTCAAATGACACAACAATGCTGGAGAAGATAAATACTACCTGAAATCTACATGATCTTATAGAGGGTACATAAATATGTTTCTTGTCTCACATCCTTCCCTTTGTCTTAACACAGTAAAAAGAAATCTAGTAGCTCAGATAATAGAAGCTTTAAACAACAAAGCTAACTTATAAAAGCAGAGCATTTAATGGAAAAAAGATAAAAACTTTTCTAATGCTTGTTATTTCATGTCTACTCAGTAGGTCCTGTGGAGGAGGCTTAAGTGTACCACCCTGTTAAGGTAGTCATTGCACATCTCATATGATCAGTGCCATAATATAATACTGAATCTTAGGATATAAATTATTCCATAATGCCAGA